GCACTCTGAGTTATATATGAAGTTTCTAGGTTAGTCTGAGCTACATAGTAAGAATGTGTCAAGGGTTAAAAGCACTTACTATTCTTCCAGAGGACCAAGGTTTAGGTCCTAGCATTCACATGGTGGCTCACAACCATCTGTAACTCCAGTTCCGAGGGATCTTATATATTCTTTTGGCTTCCTTGGGCATTAAATATACATGCCATTCTTACAGGCAAAACACTTATACACATAAAATAAATCTTTAAAGGAAAGAAAAAATGGAAGAAAAAGAGTAAAAGAAGAAAAATACATAAATCATATAAAAAGACTCTCAGACTGACAGCACAGTTGATGAAAAGTTGATCTCGAGAGTATTTATTAGTGGATGTCAGGTCATAACATCTCAAAATATACATGCAGAAGACTAGAAACGGGTGTCCTAAAATAGCCATTTGGGTATAATGATTATTTTAAGAAACAGCAGGCACAGAAGGTTAGGAAAGTTACTCGTTATGAAGGAAATGCACATTGTTACAGGATTTCTTCATTAGCAGTGCCTGGGCTGCACCAGGAAGAGAAAGGTGACTCACTCAGGAGAGACTTAACAGAGAAGGCATCGACTTCAATGTCCAGAACACCTTTCACCCTTGCTCTCCCGGCCACCTCACCGTAACCAGCCCCTCTCCTCACCCTCCCACAGTTTCCTTCAACTCCTTCTGGGCAGCACCCAAACCCGAGTCCACTTTGCAGCTCCTGATGATGTGAAAACCTCAGTCCTTTGGCTGTTTTTATATCTGCAGGACTTCTATGTATGCATACCATGTTTCCTGCTATTCTGTCCTGTTTCAGGTTAGCTCAGAGACTTGCCAAAGAACCTGAACAGGTGGGGACATCCTCCGCAAAGAGCCTTGGACACAAATGAAAACAGTTTTGATTCTTCAGTAGATAATGGGATATGGATCACCTAGTTCACTAGAGAAAGGATTAACCACATAAGTGAACGTTTTTCTTACTAGTTCTACTGTGAGCAAGTCAGTCTACGGGAGCAGGGTGGGTGACTTAGGGTAGTTACCTAATTCCTGAGACTCAGCTTCCTTTCCTTAAAATGGCGATAAAAATAATGCTTGCTTCATAAGCCTGTGAGATACCTAACACAGACAATCATTGTGCATGTGTTCAATAAAACAAACTACTCTCCATTGAGAGCAAAGAGCACATCTTGATTTTTCTATGCTCAGGTTTTCAGATTTTGTGTAAGTAACTAACATTTCTTATGTGGCAGAGTTGAAGATACAAGAAGGTTCCTTCACCAACTGAAGGTTCAATATTTGACTTTTTTAAATGAACTAACAACTGACAAATTAACAGGGCAAGTGGCCTACGAGGCATTGTGTCTACATGAACATGGGAACTCTATAAAAAGAAGTCAAAGAACAAAGTGGTTGAAGCCTAAATGACATTGAGCTATGAAATACACAGCAGAGCACGGGCTTCTAAATCGGAGGTGGCTGTGTAATCCGTGGGAGGGGGCTGGAGAGACTGTATGAAGAACAGAGGTTGTTTCTCAGGGAGCAGTCAGACAGGAGGACGGGTGGTGTAGTGTTTGCTGAGATCGTAGGGAAGGGGAACACAGAACTGAATTCCTTCTTTTAGACAGGGGCATTTCTGAAAGGGGAAGCATCAGGAAAAGACTCTAGGGACCTTGGTTTCCAGGCTGAGACCTTGCAGGATGCTTTAGTTCCGTGTGATCCGCATGCCACAGTGCCAGGTTTGGGTTACGGTTTCCTGAGCTTCAGTTAAAGTTCTTCCTGCCTCCTGATAGAGAGACAGCGAAAAGCAACGTTTCTTACTCCTTTTGTAGTTCCTGAGTAAGATATACTGTAACAAAGACAGACTAACAGGAGAAGATAAATGGAAATCCAATAAAAAAACTGTGCTTCTTATGCACGCGAAAGCATCGACATCTTCCTAGGATATGCATATAGATGATAACCCAGAGAAATGAGCAAATATCTGGCATGTATTTCAGAGGGATGACATAAACCTCATGCTTAAATAGTGCTGGTCTCTAAGACAAAAAGAGGATGGGGAAAGTCCCAGGATTACCAGAAATTTAGGGGTGTCCTTTTGTGGTTGTCAGTTGAGAGGTCGGGAAAATCAAGAGTCCCCTTGTGGACTTAACCTTGTTAACAAAAGCCGAAGAACAGACTCGGATGGAAGCTCAAGGACAATCTATTAGAATTGAAAGAAAAACCCCAAGGTAAGCACGCCATAAACCTCAGCAGCTGCCTGGAGGAGGAGAGAAGGAAGGGAAAAGCATTGCCCTTTCTGTTAAGCCTCACTGCATGAAGGAGAGCTCTAGGAAAAGATAAGGAGGCCGAACACAGCCAAGAAAGCGTGCTTAGGACAGAGGTAGAAAGAAGCGAAGGAATGGCGTGCTTTCTGAGAAATTCAGAAACGTGGGTAGATGTTCTAAGCCGCCCAGCTGCAGCTGTGTAAGCTACTGTGTTGGAGGGGCAGGAATTCTGAGAAGTCAAAGCATGTTATCTCACTTGAGGAGTAACTCTTCTGCCTTCCTAGGAGTGGCCCCTTAGCCAGGTCCTCTTACCTATGCAGTCGGAATGCTAGGTCTCCACCCAGGCTAGATTGTATTCTCTGGACCAAAGGAATTTTTCCCTTAATGGACATGTCCTGCTGCTGCGTTATCCAGATAGCCAGGATAAGGGTTCGTACTGTGGTAGAATGCTTGCCTTGTGTGTGCCTGGAAGAATCGGAGCTGATTCCTCAGGGGAAGAAAGGAAGGCAGGAGAGAGGGAGAGAAGAAGAAAAACGGAAGGGAGACAGACAGACAGGAGGGAAAGAAGAGAGAGAAGACAGGCTGGCCAGTAAAGGCGTGCAGGTTAATCAAAAGTAAAATTTGTTGCGCAATCTTAAGCCAATGCTTTCTCGGTTGATTGGGAGTCTCTGGGGCTTAGGATAAGCAGCTCAGTGATTTTGTTGATACAGGTTCTTCTTATAGTAACGTAACGTTTCTAGAATTTTTTGAGGTGGCAGGCTTTGGAATTCTACAAAGAGATGTGTTCCAGTGTGGCTCCAAAGCCCTCTGATGCTGAGGCTCCTCTCCTCCACTGGACCAAGCACAGTAACAGCACTCATCCTGGAATGTACCAAGCACAGTAGCAGCACTCATCCTGGAATGTACCAGGCACAGGAGCAGCACTCATCCTGGAATGTGATGGGGTTAAGAACATTTTTGAGCATGATTGAAGAAAGGTTCGCCCCTGGTGAAGAGGAGCTCGTTAGAGAACTGTTGCTGTTTGAATGTGAAATGTCACCACGGGCTGAGATGTTGGCACTGTTTTCGGAGATGGTAGAAGCTTTCAGAGGCAGCGCCTCATTTGAGGAAGTGGAGTACTTCCTGTCTCTCTCTGTTTCCTAACTGCTGTAGGGTAAACTCGAGTCACCGGTCTCCTCTTTGTCCTTTCGCTTTGTCTCGGGACCAAAGCAAACGCTGAGGTCGACTCTGCTCAGAAATCTCTGAAACCATGAAGATGTTCACACTGTGGTTCCAATATCCGCAAAATAATGGAAAAGAGGGGTCTATAGAGAAAGTGCTTTAGTTCTAAGATAACACTTGTAGAACTAAAACAAGTGAAAACAGAAATAAAATAAGCACTCTAAAAGCATCATTTCCAACATTAAGATAAGTCCTAAGAACTCACACTTGAATATAATAAAATACACAGATCAAAGAGAAGAATGTTCTTGAGAAAAGAACATAAACAGTGATGACAAAGATGTTCCAGGAGAGGCTAACCAGAAATTCTGAAACAGAAAGCCCCACCTCCAAGACAGACCTGATCAATCATTCCCAGCTGCAATAAAAGTGAGAAAACAAGCATGGCAGGGGTAAGGAGTCAAAAAGTGACTGTTCCTATTGATAATGATGCTTAGTAGAGCAGCTACACAGACCTGCCCTCTGATTCAATAGGACTGGACATGTCCACATTCCCATCATGCAAGGCTGAATCAAGGGGGAGCATTCTCTAAGGAGGCAGCCCTGGAATGATTAACCAGAGAAGTAAGAGGAAGCTGAGGTGCACATCTGTTCTCTAAAGCTGGCTCACCTATAAGGAAAAAGGGTGGGACTGACTGAAGCATCCCTAGTTGGTAATTTTCTATGATAAATCACTGTCTTCATTGATTTGAATAAGTTAGTGGATAGGGTTATGAATTATACTAAGTGAGCACACACTGCAAGAGACACAGTTCTCACTTTCAACAAAAGGGCTCTCAAACTACTTTTACAGTTTGCTTAATCATCTCTTCTCCAAATTGGAAAATTTCTTGAAGTTATTCTATTCCAATACCATCAGGATTCCACCACTGTTAAGAGTTCATACTGCTTTTGCAAAGGACCCAAGTTCAACTCCCACATCTGGAAGCTCACAACCACCTGTAACTCCAACTCCAGAGGGATCCAAAGCTTCTGGTCTCTGAGGGCACCTGCACTGAGGTGTGCATACACACATAGACACATACACACAACTCACACAGACACATACACACAACCCACACAGCCAATACACACAACCCACACAGACACACACAACCCACACAGCCAATACACACAACCCACACAGACACATACACACAACCCACACAGCCAATACACACAACTCACACAGACACATACACACAAACCACACAGCCAATACATACAACCCACACAGACACATACACACAACCCACACAGCCAATACACACAACTCACACAGACACATACACACAACCCACACAGACACATACACACAACCCACACAGACACATACACACAACCCACACAGACACATACACACAACCCACACAGACACACAAAACCCACACAGCCAATACACACAACCCACACAGACGCATACACACAACCCACACAGGCACATAATTAAAATAAAATAAATCTCTTAAAAATAACCAATACCATCATCATATATTAGAAGGATAAAGGAGAGAATGCTTACCATTTTGGTCCTAAAATCTGTCTGGACCAAAAAGCAGGGATGGAGATGTGCTTTAGAGATGACAGCATATCACCAGGTACCCTGAACTTTACATTTGCTCTCATTATTTTACGAGGCTTTGGGGGTTGTCTCCCTTGGGATGGAGTAAGTATATTTTATACATGAAAAGAAGCCTGGACCGAATATTATGTTGCATGGAATAACTGTGGAAGATATTAGGCGATTTTCTCTGACCCTCTCCTTCCAGGAAAGCAGCAGGATTGGATTTCTCTCCTGCATGTCACTGTCTTAAGCCTGTAAAATGAGAATGGAGGTGCCATATGTTTCTTCCATGTGGTGGCTTTAAGCGCCAGAATGCAGATTCTGTGCCTTCCTCCTTTTCTTCTTGTATCCTTTTGCTTTGGTGATTATGGAAGCAAGCGTTGCAAAGGAACATCTGCCAACCTGTGTCCCTGGAGGACTGCTGTGAGCAGAGGCCCTGCACAACACAAGGACACACAATCAGCAAAAGAGACGAAGATGTCTAGTGTCAAATAGCACTGAGATTTTAGGGGTGTTATTGCAGCAGAATCCAGCGCCTGCTGAAGTATGTGCAGCTTCCTGCAGAGATGGAAATTAGCAGGGGGATGGCACCCATCTCTCGGTCTTAGCTGATATGCCATCTCTTTTCATTTCAAATATAAAGACTTTTCCTTCTCATTCACCTCAGCACTAAATTTTATGTAGCTCTGGCTTGTGAAACAGGATCCACTAACTTCTCCCTCCTCTCACTCTTATTTCCCTCCCTCCATCCCTCTTCTTCTTGTTGTTGTTACTGAAGACAAGGTCTCACTGTCTGGCCCAGGCTAACTTTAAACTTCCAACAATCTTCTTGCCACGATGTCTTCACAGATCCTTCTATATAGGCACTTTCAGCATTATGCCACAGTGTGTGTGTCTCTTGTTACAGAATTCCTAAGTCAATCTTCAGCTTCCTTCCAAATTTACCTGGAGAAATCATCCTTGAGTGATTTCTAATCTGGACACTGCTGATACTTCCTGTGCTTGAGCCCTCGGTAGCCTAGTGAAGAAATGTGGCCACACAGTGTGGAAAATCACTTGTCTCCCCAGTGTGTTTTGCTCAAAGGGTGTTTTCTTCCTTCTGTTCTCAGAAAGGCTGAGTTGAATGTGTGCCAGCCTAGCATTGACTACTTGGACAGATGGATGAAGATGGTGATAAGAAATTTATACCTCCAAAGGATGTTATTGCTGTTTAACAAATTATCTTAAAGTTTTAGAGGCTTAGACATGAACTATTTATATATTCTTATGGATATCTGCATATGAAGTGGGCCATCTTTTTATCTGAGCTTAATCCAGGTGCTCTCAATTAGCTCACTCAATGTGGTCAGTCAGCTGAAACACTATAGGAAGGTGATTCAGGCTAGCTCCATTAGGATGTAGCTTCCTTCTTCATTAAACTATGCAAGGTTATTTTTAAGGCAATAGCAAGAGCTCCAAGAGAGGAGACAGAATCACTCAAGCAACCTTTCAAACCTCTACATACATCATGTCTCTTATTGTTTCATCAGCTGTGAAATATTCCTTTACACTCTGTAAATATATGTTACTGTGATTGGCTTAATGAAGAAGCTGAATGGCCTATAGCTGGGCAGAATAAGGTTAGGTGGGAGAACTAGACTAGGAGAATGTTGGGAAGAGAAGGAGGAGTCTGAGGAGTCACAAGGAGACATGGAGAGAAGGAAGATGAACTTGCTGTACTAAAAAAAGGTACTGCCATGTGGCAGAGGGTACATAAGAAATATGGGTTAATTTAAAATGTAAAAGCTAGTTAGTAACAAGCCTGAGCTATTGACCAAGCATTTCCAATTAATAATAAGTCTCTGTGTGGTTATTTGGGGAGCAGCTGGTGGGACAGAAAGATCTGCCTACAATCAGCTGAAGAAACTCATCCGTGATAACATTACCAAAGAGCATGGATACAGGTGGCAGGAGGCATTAGTCATAGAAACAATATGACACCTTAGCTAAGTGCATAGGACAAGCTAGGTTTACATTAAAGAAACAAACAATACCAACTCTGTTAGTCTGTAGTCTTTGATCATCTTGAAATCTGCTTGACAGTGTATTGCTGGCCCATCTACACAGCTGTCCACTAGGAAGATAATTTTCACCTTATCTACTGGAATGGATAAAATTTTGCCAGGGTCTTCTTTGCCTCTATATACTCCTACTGGCTCCAATAAGCATTCCTCGATAATCTTAAAGCCCTTCAAACACTTAGTGTGTAAGGCCATGTCTACATGTTTTTGATAAAAATGTGAACAACCGATGGGCAGGTTTTTTTTTTTAATCCATAAATGTTCCTTAAATCTATAAAAGCTATGATTCACTTATGCATCACGGCCCTCATAGGCTGCAGTCACAAACCGAAGTGAAATAACCCATGGCTGAAGCCAGAAGTGTTGGAAAGTTAGAGCAATCTATATGCTTTCAAAGTGTCAAAACAATCTGCCCACATGTTAAAATCAAATGTCCAAAACCACACGGAAAGTTTCTGCATCTGTTGCTTCTACTGAAAGCTCTACCCTCTGTTAGAACTCTCAGTGTTTCTGACCCATACACCAAATCCTGGAACTTCCAAAAGGTCTTGGTAGAAAGCATCCATCTCTATTGATTACTAAAAAATAAACCACATACTATCCTCCTGGGTCCTAACGGTGAAGTTAGAGTACACAGGTTAGAGTGTCAGCCCAATGTGTCTACCCACAGAAATATGCCTTGACAAATCTATTTATCTGGACATCTGAGGTGCTCTCAGATGTCATATTCTTCAAGATGGGAGATGGGTGGTCTGGCCTAGTAAGAGTTACTGCATGGAGATCAGAAGATACCCTGCTTCCTGGACTTAACTTCCCATAGACTTTCATTACTCACTACAAAAAGTAGAAGGTAGGCCAAGCAGGTTTAGTTTAATCTCAATGTAGAGTTCAAGTAAGATGCACACCTTTAATCCCAGCACTTGGGAAGCAGAGGCAGGTGGGTCTCTGTGAATCTGAGACCAGCCTGGTCTACAGAGTGAGTTCTAAGACAACCAGAGCTACATATAAGAACCTGTCTTGAAAACAACAGCAGCAAAATGTGGAGTTCAGATGCATCACTGATTGCTCACTGGACAGATTGGCCAAAGGCATGAGATTATACTATGTGTATTACCTCAATATTGGAAGAAATGTCAGAAGTGAGTAGTCTCTATTGCTCTCTAAGGCCAACAAATGGAATAAGAAAAACTTCAATGACAAAAGGTGAAATTTTGGGGCTTTTTGAAGGGAAAAATTATTCAATTTTTACCTGTGTAGCAGTAATTCTATGATAATTAGATGTATATTATAAAAGATTAGGAAACAAAGTTAAATAGTTAATAGAATTTGAACAATGCTAAAATACAACTTCTGAAAGAATCCAAACAAACAAGATGCACCCTACAATTGCCCTGGCTTTTTGCCTAACTTAAAATCTTATCTATGGGGTCTTAAGAGACGACTCACTGGTTAAAAACGTTTGTTGCTCTTCCAGAGGACCCAGGTTTGATTCCCAGCACCTACAATGGTGGCTCACAGCTGACTGTAACTACAGTTCCTGAAAACCTGACCATCTCTTACGGTCTATGCAGGTACCAGGGATGCATATGGTGCAGAATATTTTCAGGCAAAGACATACTTGTAGGGATAGCAATAGAATCTACTGTCAACACTAAACTGTGGAGATACAGGCAGAGGGGCTGAGTGGCCAATCCAGAGAGAAATTGTAAGGCTGAACATCAGGAAGGAGGCCATTATGACAAGAACAGGATTGGACACTGTTCAACGAGGGAAGAGACCCCACACAGCAGTTCCAAAAATGTCCTTGCTGGAGGCCAAAAATGCACCCCTGCCTAAAGGCTCCATGTGACTGAATAACTACAACAGAGAGGATGCACCTGGCTGCCTGGCTGGGCCATCCATGCTGCTCACAACTTATCCTCCTCCTCCTCCTCCTCCTCCTCCTCCTCCTCCTCCTCCTCCTCCTCCTCCTCCTCTTTTACTTCAGCGTCTGCCACAAGTCTGTTAAAAGGCCCCCAGACTAGCAGATCAATTGTGTCCTCCCTTCTTGGGTGCTTCTTGCTGTATAGGTGTTTCTTGCTTCTTTCTCTTAAGCTCCTTGTGATAAAATACTTCTTTCTAAAATGATCCGTCAATTTCAGTTTTCAAATTCACGAGACCCAAAAGCCCAAACCCAAATTCACGAAACCCCAAGCCACTGACTCCGGTGTCAGCCACAAATTTTCAGGAAACCTAGCTCCCCACTTACCTAAGCTCACTCAAGAGTTGAGAAAGGTTTCACCTCTCTCAAAGACACCTCCACATTCTCAAATCAATCGGGTAGAGATAAAACTCTGTGATTTTTCCATAAGTTTTAAGATTTTAGATAAAACTGCATGAAGCTAGAGAAAGAAAAAATGGTGGGTAAAGAGCAATTATTGGAGCCAGGGATACTAGTACATGCCTAAAAATCACAGGAAGCGGAGGCATGCAGATTTCGGTGAGTTTGAAGCCATCTTGGTATACATAGTGAGGTCAAGGCCAGCCACGGCTGCATAGTAAGACACTGCCTCAAAAAATAAAAACAAAACAGCACCAGGTTCTTTTCCTGGGGCTTATGACCTAGTCAGCTCTGAGGTTTGGGCCCAGTTAACAGTACTGGGCAGGTTCAATCTTGTGAAGTACACTTTAAGTCCAATCAGAAAGTGCTTGGTTACTCCCATAACACTTGTACCACTGTTGCACCAGTAGGCATATCTTGCTGGGCCATTTGTTTCGGTATTTCACAGAGTTCATAACTGGGTAAGAATTTTGATGGCTTTTTCCCCGATAGCATGCACAGAACCTTTCCAGACTATGAAAGCTAATAGGTATGAAGCCTGTAAATAAGTGTATGGTTGATTTCTCCATGTCCTATGACTCAGGTATATGATATCTTCAGCAATAGGGACAGACCACTAAGTTCTAGAGGAAAACAAAGATAACCCAAGCTTTTTGAGGATTTTTCTTTTCAAAATTACTTTTTAAAATATTCAAAATTAAGGGCTAGGAAGTAGCTCAGTGGTTAAGGGCACTGGCTGCTCTTCCAGAGGGCCCAGTTTCAATTCCCAGCACTCACATGGCAGCTCACAACTGTCTGTAACTCCAGCTCCAGGGGATCTAACACCCTCACACAGACATACATGCAGGTAAAACACCAATGTACATCAAAATAAATAAGTTATAAAAAATTCAAAATTATGTAAGGCAGACTATATATATAATTGATGATGTCAAAATTCAATATAAAATGGTTATGATGATTTTAGAAAAACAAATCCTCAAAAAAAAACCATTTATCATTCCAATTCCAGCTGAAAAGCACTGCTCTGGGAAAAGACTCTGGGTGCAATACTGTGAGGCAACTATACACCCACATAGGCTCTAAGAAGGCCCCCAGGAGGGACTTACCTTTAGAGATTGAAGGGGGCACATAGTACAGGAACTAGAAGACCGGAAGGATCTTCATGACATCACTCTGGCTGCTCTTAAAGCTCTAACAGACATTGCATGCTGCCTTAGCCTGAACCTTAAATGCCTTAAAGGAAATGTCACACTGCCCAGGGATCAGATGGGCCTCCCTGAAGCCAGATGGGCACTGGTTGCAAAGCATGGGCAGCATGAACTCATAGGTCTCCCTCCAGGGCTCTGTTCCAGAGGGAGGCAAGATGGAGGGTTCAT